TTCAACAACACTCACTCTTATTCCTACCATTCAGAGACAGTCGAAATATTCTTATTTCTCCCCAATGTGTTGAATGTACAATTAGCATATATACCTTTTACAAATCAGATAAAGCAACACGACTTCTGTTTGGGAAGGGAAATAAATCATTGAAATGAAGCAATCATTTGAACTGTCCGAATGACAGCCAAGTGACAGCATGATCTGTGAACACATAGATAAGTCAAGTTGAATGACCTGGCTGAACCCATAGCCCACTGGTGTGAACTTTTGGCATCAGGACCTCAGATCCCTTCTGAACTTTTCCATGCAGTTGGGTTTAGTCAACCCACTCCCTGTCCCCCACTTCTAGGAGGGTTTCAATTAAACCACCAAAGACAGGTTGTTGCCCGGATAGGTGTCTCTCCATTTACTTTTTATTAACTGTCCTTCAATAACATTTTTTTAAAATTCTCCATGAATGTATTTCACATTCTTTTTATATTTATCCCTAGTTTGCTTACATCTTCTGTAGCAAATTTTTTACTGTTTTCAAACTATGTGTTGCCAATGGACGGAAATATAACTGGTTTTTTTTCAGCCTGACACATATTTTCCCCAGCCTTGGAGTTTTACCTACAAAATCTATGTTCAAATCTCACCTGATAATAGAGCATGTGCTATCAGTTCAGCTAGGCCTGCTCAACTTCTCCTGAAATCTCACGGCATGTTAATTATTACTCATACACTGCTGGTCCATTTCCCTTGGTGGGAGTGAAAGGATAGTAAATATTTTAGGCTTCGTGGGTCATCTGGTCTCTGTTGCAACTACTCGTTGCAGAGTGAAAACAGACATAGACAATACATAAACAAATGGGCACGCTGTTTCCCAAAAGAAGTTCATTCACGGTATGTTCCCTTAAGACAGCGAAGGGACTGATAGTTTTCCATCACTTCCCACAGAAGCAGAATTCCCTTGTAAAAGCTGTAAAAAGACAAAACCAGAACCCCTCAGAACCTAGAATCAGTAGAGGACAGCAATCTAAGCACAGGGACCTGGCCAAGGTTTGGTATGTTGGTAATCTACCAATCTGCTGTCACAATCCTGGGAACCAGTAATGCTGGCTGCAGTCAGCTCAGCTCGTGCGTGACGCTGCAGTCGTGTGGCAGGTTAGCCAGGGGCTGTTGGTCGAGGATGGCTTCACTCATCTATCTAGGGGTCGGTGCTGGTGTTGGCTAGTGCCGGCTGACAGCTGGGCCACGTGTCTCTAGGGGGCCAGACTGAACTGACCGACAGGATGAAGGATGGCAGGAAGGGTTCCCAGCAGCAAGTGAGGGTAAGTTCTCAATGCACAGGAGCTTTCCAGGCCTCTGCTCGCATCGCATTTGCTCTCTGTCCCACTGGCCAGTGAAAGTCTGTGGCCAAACCCAGAGTCGGGCAGTGGGAGCAGCAAAGTCACAATACAAGGAGGTGTGCAGACAGGGACAGAAGCAGTTCATGGGCATTTTGTGATTACACTCAGCTATTCTAGCCAAAAGGTACACAGGAAAACTAAAAGTTCCTTTCAAACCAGAACAGATCAATCCAGAGGAACCCAGATCAAAACTGAATTCAAGATATTTAAGCAAGTGTAGGGGTCGGGGTAGCAATTTAAACACATCCCCAGGAACCCAGTTATTAGAAATGCCTCAGTTCAAAGACAAGGAGTTCAGTTACTCAGGAGGCAGGAGTACAGGGCAGCTACCTGCTTTCGGGGATCACTTCTGGTGGTTTATTAAATCCTAATCTGTGTAAGGGCGCCTGGGTGGCGCAGTCGGTTAAGCGTCCGACTTCAGCCAGGTCACGATCTCGCGGTCTGTGAGTTCGAGCCCCGCGTCGGGCTCTGGGCTGATGGCTCAGAGCCTGGAGCCTGTTTCCGATTCTGTGTCTCCCTCTCTCTCTGACCCTCCCCCGTTCATGCTCTGTCTCTCTCTGTCCCAAAAATAAATAAACGTTGAAAAAAAAATTAAAAAAAAAAAATCCTAATCTGTGTAGAAAGCAGATTCATTTTGGGGGGATTTGCATACGAGAATGACCATCTACAGGTAGTAAAGAGACGGCAATCCAGAAATTGTAAAGAGAAAGTTTATCAAAATACGATAGTGATTTCAGATTGGGACTCATGTAAAACAAGGCAGTTTGTCCTCTGCCTCAGAGTGGAGGCAGTCCCTGAGATATCAATATGGCTCATGCCAGCTAGCCCTGGTCTGGTGATGGCGAGAATGGCCTGTCACTACGTGGAAATGATGCTGGATCCAAATTCCAAAAAGTCATGTCCTGATCTAGGAGTCCATATTATAACTTTTACCTGATTATTGTTTTTCTCTTAAAATACATTCAGTCTCAGATTCTTGAGACCTAACACGTGCCGAACATCAGGCATACAATGGAAACCAAAAACCAAGTGGTAAAGCAGCAGCTAACGAGGTTTTCTAAGGTCAAGCTACCTTTCTATTTTGAGATTTAAATAAGTTTTAAGTTTCTCATTTTACCACTCTTAGAAAACAATTAGTCTTGCGTGACATCTTTTTAATTTTTTTTTAATTCTCCATGATCTCTTGGTATGGCATGAGTCGTGATAATTCCTCTCATCTTCTAATGTGTAACTTTAAAAAATAAATCAACTGCACCAGTTTAAGTTAATTTTTACAATTTCAGAATCAAGATGTACAATTTCTACTCGTTTAAGATTAGTGTCTAATAAGTCTAACAGAGTTTTCATGCAGAAGTAGTAAGATTTCAACCATGTATTTCCTACTATAAGATGTTTGGAAGGATGGGACTATGGGAAATGAGGCAAACAGCAAGGGTTGGACAGATGGTAGGGAGAGAGTGTACCAAAGACACGGCAAGAAGTACTTTCTGAGACTCTAGAAAAGGCTCCCATGACTCACTTAAAACAATTACTGAGCTGGTGCCCGGCTCTGGGGTCAAGAGGTGTGCATGTGGCTTCCTTCTGCGGCCGTCATGGCTAGCAGAGATCACAAACCACTTCAATAATGAAGGCACTGTGAGTATACTGCATAGTTTCAGTCCCCATGGAGCTCACAACCTAGTGTGATGAATGAAGAACATAAACCAGTGGCATAAAAGGGGGCATGGTGGGCACAAACCATTTTGACCCATCAGTCAACTCAACCCAGTCAGGAAGATGCATTGTTTATACTTGTTGACGAAAAGGATCAAGTTGGCTCTCCTTACACTTGTGCCTCAGACGTGGTCAGGGACGTTCTAGTCTCGGTTCCTGAACGTACTAGGACCACAGCCAAACACCCAGTGCTGTTGACGTGAGCTAACAGTCTCTGTGTGCTGAGTGACACGGTTGACTTACTGAAAGCAGCAGCAGTAATTCTTTTTTGACTGAAAAAGCACTGAAACTCACAACTCTTCTACTGACCAAGGTATATGCAAAAATAAGGTTTGGACTCAATGCTCTTAACCTGGTCTCTGTGTCCAGGAAAGGAGCATCTGAAAATCTTGCGTAAGTAAGGGAAGCAGCTGGCTTTACTTAGGTGATAAGACCAAAAATGTAGTCTTCCCTCGGAGGGCAACATGACACCATTCAACCTGATTTTCCTGCTACTATTTGCTAGTAATAATTCCAGAAGAAAAAGGTAGTCAGTCACAAGATACCCTGAGATCTCTACTTCCTGCCAAAGAAGTACAACCAGTTCTGCATATTTAAGTGAACTCAGAGTCATGTGTAGATGGGCTACAAAAACAAAGCTACTGCTATTGACAAAAGGACCGTGTGTACACTTAAGTTTTAGAGATGCAAGAATTCAGATGTGCTTTTCTTTCATAAGGCTGCTAATAGCAATAAATTATTTTGGTTTTTTTGATGCAAAACTCTTACAAACTGGCTTTTAAAAGTTCAATCTAGGGGCGCCTGGGTGGCGCAGTTGGTTAAGCGTCCGACTTCAGCCAGGTCACGATCTCGCGGTCCGTGAGTTCGAGCCCCGCGTCGGGCTCTGGGCTGATGGCTCAGAGCCTGGAGCCTGTTTCCGATTCTGTGTCTCCCTCTCTCTCTGCACCTCGCCCATTCATGCTCTGTCTCTCTCTGTCCCAAAAATAAATAAACGTTGAAAAAAAAAAAGTTCAATCTAATCAGGCACCAATAATATTAAATAGCCATGTATATTAGTCTTTCCAAAAAATAAACTATAAAGCAAGCACAGTCTTGTTACACGACTACAACTTCAGGTTGCACGTTCGCGGATATCCTCCAAGGAGAAGACCTGCCTAAACGACACCATGTGTGAGACGGTCAAAGCTGTGTTCAGTGATGGTCGTGTTGGGTGAAGAGGTCACGAAAAAGGCCCTTTCATCTTCCGGAACACTGTATTCGTTTGGAGCCTCTATCTTTGACCTCCCTCATTCTTGGCCTTTTTCCTTTGGTTCCTGTTTTTATCCTGCCCCCTGTGATTATTCCCAAAACTTAGCCCTCCCCCAAGCTTAGCACTCAGCCTATGTAAGTTCACCTACTGAGGCCTTTAACTATCACAGCTGTCACGGTTCATTTGAGTCCTGGCATCATTAGATCAATAGGTCGAAACACACCTCGGGACCTCCTGTTCCTAAAACGCAATGCCCACACAGCTCCGGCTACCGCGTGCTGTGAGCCACCGCTGTCTGCCCGGGGACCACAGGGAGACCCAGACGTCCAGCCCCGTGGGACACAGCGAGGTAAGCTCACTCACTCACTCCGGCTGGAAGCCTCAGATGCCTGTTCAGCGACTCCACTCCCATCACACATCTTTACAACCCTAAGGGTCCTTTCCTCACCATCTGAGCTCCTTCTTCGGTCTTAATTTACGTCTCAGCCACCGCGGGTCTCTTTACCAGCTCCAAGGCACTGGAACCTCCACCAAAGGGAAGAATAAAATCACAAGTGTTTGAAGCCTTGAGAATATGATAACCAAGACCTCCTGAGAGCAAAAGAGCCGTGTCAAGTCCTCCCAGAAGGTGCCAGCTGACGTACCTGATGTTTTCCAAGGCATCTGTTACCTGCTGTTGTTCAATATCATAGAGTTTCACCCTGAAGCCTCCACTGGCAAACAACATAGCCCAGCTTCGCCCGATGAGTCCACTAAAGAGAAAGAAAGTAAGAAAGGCTTCCAGTTAACTTAATGGAACAGTTTTTCATTCCCAACCCAGAATGAAATTTTTAAAATTATACAGCACCCTGTTCTAAAATACTTAAGAATAGTCACACATTTTGATAGCTGTATTCATTGAAAACGTTGTATCTCTGTGTAGGAGCCCCTGAATTCTCAACTCCAGTGTCGGCATTAATATTATGCCTGGCGCACTGCCAGGTGTCAGGCAGTTACCATTAGTTCACACGCTGAAACAAACATTACAGTAGCGCAGGGCACCTGGGGTGGCTCAGTCGGTCAAGCATCCGACCGCGGCTCAGGTCGTGATCTTGCTGTCCGTGAGTTCCGGCCCCGCGTCTGGTTCTGTGCTGACAGCTCGGAGCCCGGAGCCTGCTTCGGATTCTGTCTCCCTCTCTCTCTGCCCTTCCCCTGCTCATGCTCGCTCGCGCTCGCTCTCTCTCTCTCTCTCTCTCTCTCTCTCGCAAAGATAAACATTAAAAAGAAATCACAGTAGTAAAGTGGTAGGGTGTCGTGAGGCAAAAGGCTCCTATGTGAACCCCCATTTGACCACTGTTTTAGGCAAGTCACTTAATGTGAAGAACAGAGATAGTACTTATTTGAGGAAGATGGGGGAAAATACTAACTGCTACCACCATCAGCATTTGAGCATATATTAGGTGCCAGGTGACATCGAAACTGAGGGCTGGCCACTGGGGTTAGCAAGATGAATGGGGGTGGGGACAGTGAGAAGAGCAGTTCTGACATACTGGTATGGAAGAAAGCCTGCCTGCGTTTAAGAGAAATGAGCCTCTAGATCTAACTACCGGTTCTAGAAATGGAGGGACAGGGAAACAAGTACGTTAAAGGACGCCACATGGATACATGCAGCAAAATCCAGAATGTAGGAAATTTCACAGGACAAATGACTGTGTTCTTCAACAAGGAAACTGCAAGAAAATTAAAAAAAAAAAAAAAAAAAAGAGGGATGGTGAAACCTATAGATTGAAAGAAGGCTATATCAACTATAAATATAACGTGTGGGCCTTACTTGGACCCTCAAACCAAGTATAAAAAAGTTTTTAGGTAATCAGGTAAATTCTGAATGCTGACTGGATATCTAAAGGCATTATGTGATGATAGCAAGGAATTCTGTTAATGTTTTATACATGATGGTGGTATCACAGTTCTATATTTTTAAAATACAGTTGATCCTTGGGGGCGCCTGGGTGGCTCAGTCAGTTAAGCATCCGACTTCAGCTCAGGAGTTTGAGCCCTGTGTCGGGCTCTGTGCTGACAGCTCAGAGCCTGGAGCCTGCTTCAGATTCTGTGTCTCCCTCTCTCTCTGTCTGTCCCCTGCTCACGCTCTATCTCTCTCTGTCAAAAATAAACATTAAAAAATAAACATTAAAAAAATAAATAAAATACAGTTGACCCCTGAACAAGGGTTTGAACTATGCGTGTCCACTTATATGCAGATTTTTTACAGTACAGTACTATAAATATATTTCTCTTATGATTTTCTTAACATCTCTTCTCTAGCTTACTTTATTGCAAGAACACAGTATTTAATATGCATCACATAAAAATATGTGTTAGTTGACTGTTCATATTATCAATAAATCAATAAATTATAACATATACATTTATAATTATGATAATAAATTATAATATAATATATAATATAATATATTATAAAAATAATATTAAATTATTAAAAGGGGTACACAAGTTTTCACTGTACTATTCTCCCAACTTTAATATGATTTGAAACTTTTCCATAATATAAAGAATATGGACGGGGACAAAGGAATTAGAGACACAATAGACAATTTCATTGAGATTTAAGGGAAAATGTGGCAGTTACTGAAAGGAGAAATGCGGTCGAGTTGGGGATACTATTAGGCTGGAAGAAATACCACGTTCACATGCTGTAGAGTGGGATTTCCCGCAGACAACCCAGCACTGCGCTCTGAGGCCACCGTACCGATTGCCACCGCTTCGTCATCCTGACACTTGCTTAATGTTACTCAGGAAAAGGCAGCCCCAGTGATCAGGCAAGTGGAAAAGCCTTGGAACTGGGGGTGTCTGAACAGAGGCAGGTAATCACTTAGCACCAAATATCGGATAGGCAGCTGGACTACGCTCCATTTTTCTTCCAGCCTTGAGATCTTCCAACGCCACTTAGAATATCAAACGCAAGTTGCATCCCGTCCACAAACTGTCCTTACAATTTCTACTCTATACACTTTAAAAACAAATCAACAACCCTCTCTGGGTTTCCTCTAAACGAGAAGCTCTTAAAAATGCGGTGCAAATGTCAGCAGCAACGTATTTCCCATTTTAGAGGGTCCCGAAGGGGCGTGTGGACAAAGCAGAGCATGAAGCGGTGGGGGCACTTCTCTGCGAGCACTTGCAGCCTCGCCAGGCGTGCCAAGAACGTGCGGCGTGGCTGTTCCTCGCCCGACCGTTTCCGGAGTTCCTAGGCAGTGAGCCACCACCTCAAGGGGAGGAAAATGCGTCCCTTGAAGACACACAGCAGGCTTGCTTAAACAGTGGCTTCCCCAAGCTCCACGTTCCCCCACTGGAACACGCTCACTGAATGTGCAGGCACGCACCTGGGATGTGCACATCCACCCCCACGGCAAGGGGACAAATGCGTAAGCAGGAAGCTCATACCGCCTGCCCTGCTATGATTAAGAAAGCTCTCTGTCTCTGACCCGTGGGTCTCGTGTCCTCTGCCAGCGTTCAGGAAAGAGCAACACGCTGAATCACTAGCTTGCAAGTAGGCAGAACATGCAGTGGGACGCGCTGGTCTCAGACGTGGCGTTATTTCACCGCGGCGCCCACGTGAGCTGCTTTGTGGGAGCGGGGCTAGAACAGTCGAAGCCAAGGATGGGCTCCGAGACGTTATCGTCCCTACTGGGTCTCCCCCCGCTCCCCCTCCTAACTCCTACAGTTCCCACTCTGAGTCCAGGGAGTGCCCCACACCGCCACAAAGCCCCCCTTCTGTGGGGCTTGGGCCCAAGCGATGGAAGGGAAGAGCGCGGCTTGCCTCCAATTGACCTGAAAATCCTGTTAATGCCACAGAAGTGCTATCCAGGCTTCAAAGCCCTCGCGCAACGCTCACTTGAGCTGAGCCCTCGATACACACAAAGGGCGACTGAGAGGGGCTCCTATCTTGTTACAAGGTATATTATGCAAAGGCCTTGGTTGAAAAACGCAGGCGAAACAACTAAAACGACCTCTGCTCAACTTCTGGAAAGGGCGCAGGATTTATACAGTAGACTTCACTCCGTATTCTTCTGCAATATTAAAATCTTTTAGAACTAATGTAAAATTTACATATTATGTATATATACAGTTTTACTAAGCCCTCAATGCTCTCGACCTGCACTAATACGGTCGACTCTAGCCACATGCTGCTATTTAAATTAATTGAACTTAAATAAGTTTTAAAAATCAGGTCACATCTCAAGTATTCAACAGCCACCTGTGACAGGGGCCACCGGCCTGGACAGCAAGAGCCTAAGTGGAACATTTCCCTCTTCGCAGAAAGTTCTATTAACAGAGCCGTCGCCCTAGACCATCCGCCACAAGCCAGAGTTTGAAGGAGGCCGTCCCTGCATAAAGACTTCTCTTCTTCGCAGACACACTCTCGCGCTCGCGCTCTCCAGAAAAGACTTCCTTCTCTTCCTTACAGACGTGTGCTCGCTCTCTCGCTCTCTCCAGAGCTGCAAGGCAGGAAGTTAAGAGGCCAAGTAACGTTCGTGCAGATGATCCCACGGGGCCAGCCACTGGCCCTAAACTCCTCGTCCCACTGCCAGTATCACAATGTTTGCGGTATGTGGTGATTTATTCAACCAGAAAGGAAGCCCTGCTTGCAGCCTCGGTCTAGAAGGGACAGGCCCGCGGCAGGGTTTACAGCGCGCGTCCACTCGGTGCCCGAATGGCTGCTGCTCTCGCTGCACGTACGACACGCTTCAGAGAAATATTTTTCAGACCGAGAGCGCTCTTTCTTTGCCCTGTGCAGCCTGAGAAACTACCACAACCCTCCGGAGTGACTCGCCCGCCTGAAACCTTCGCCCGCCTCTGGCCGGGCTGACGCCCGCGGGGGTGGGAGCTCCACGGGGCCTCCGGGGCCGCGTGGGCCGCAGAGCCCTCCCTCGGCTAAGACCCCGCGTCCTGCGCCCGCACGCGGGGAATTCGGCCGAGAGCAGAGGACGGGCGCGGACGCCCAGGAGCTCAGGCCTCGGCGAGGCTCGAAGGCCGGGCAAAGCGCAAGCGCAAGGACGAGGGCTGCCGGCTGGCTTCTGACCAAAGGCCCAAGTGCTCCGGCTGCTCTTACGGAAAAGACCTTCCGCGGACGAGAACACAAGACGCGTCTCAGGAAGCGCACCCGCCCGCACAACGCGACTCGCCTTTTCCAGACGGAGTTGGAAGTGCCTCTCGGACGAGCCGGCGCGGCAGGTGAGGCCAAGAAAGGGGCGGAAGACCCCTTCTGGAGCCTTCTGGAGACGGGCTGTCTCGACTCCCCCAGGTCCCACTGGGGCCGCAACCCGCCCCGGCCACGCGGGCGGGGAAAGCGGCCGGGGCCACGGGGGCCCCCCCCCGCTGCCGGCACAGAAGACACGCTGGGTTTCGAAGTCTGTGCCTCCCAGGAAAGAACGTAAACGCTTTCACCAGTAATACTTTGTATGAATTACTTGCTGAAACATCAGCACTTAGAAAAATACCTTAAATAAGACAGACTGAAATTCATTTCACCTTTTTCTCAATGTAGCTACTGAAAAATGGAATTGCATACGTGGCTTGCACTTGTGGCTCACAGTGGCTTCAACGATTACCTGGTATCACAATTCAGTCATTTATCTTTGTAGCTGCTTGGTGTCTGGACACCCAGTTCCACCCCCAACTAGAAACCACCACAGTCCTCGAGAGGTCAGGTGCCCCAGAGGGCTGCTTCCTCTCCAAATGCACTCGGGGCTGGAGC